GGGATGTGGCTCCCTGGTTAAGCACCCCTTGGTTCAATCCTCAGTATAAAAACAAAACAAAAAAAAAAACCTAGAGTAGTGTTTTAATAGCTATGTACTATAACCTAGTCAGATTAATACATACAACTAACCATCATACTATCAGTTCATTGAACTGTGATAATTAAATGAATTAATGTATACATAGCATTCAGAATTGATCCTAACACATATGAGGCACTCATAAAGGACAAGTAACAGAGCTTTGCTGCCTATTGATGACAGATGAATGGATTAAGAAATTATGATGTATATGCACAGTGGAATATTACTCAGCCATAAAGAAGAATGACTTTATGACATTTGTCAATAAATGGATAGACTGGARACTATCATTGCTAAATGAAATACCCCAATACCAATAAAACCAAAGGTCAGATGTCCTCTCTGATATGTGGATGCTAACCCACAACAAGGGGGTAGAGAAGAAAATAAAAGTTCAGTGGATTAGACAAAGGGGAATGAAGGGAAGTGAGAGGGGATAGGAATTGGAATGACAGTGGAATGAATCTGATATAACTTTCCTATGTACATATATGAATACACTGCAGTGAATCTCAACATTGTGTACATCTACAAGAACTGGGATCCTAATTAGAATAAGGTATATTCCATGCTTGTATAAATATATCAAAATATATTTTACTGTCATGTATAACTAAAAAGGACAAATAAGATAAAAATAAATTTCAAAAAGAGCTTTGTTGCGTAAAATCAGCTAACATTTATTAAGTACCTATATTAGGCAGAGTTCTGGGCCCAACATAGTGGGAGATTGAGTGGTAATCACTGTAGAATCATAATCTGTCTRCACTTAGAGTGAACCTTAATGTGCATCTAGACAAGCCTCATTCTAAAAATGAGAAAGGTGATTCAAAATATTTTTTCCATGCAACTTGCATATTTTTTAATATTTATTTTTTAGTTGTAGTTGTGGTGCCAAGGATCGAACCCAGGGCCTCGCATGCACAAGGCAAGCACTCTACCACTGAGCCACAACCCCAACCTGAGGTGTTTTGTTTTTTTTTTTTTTAAGTAGTGGTTGTGTTAGTCAACTTTACAATCATATAAGGAAATACCTGAGGCAATTAGATTGTAGAAAAAAGATCTGTTTTGGCCTGCAGTTCTGGAGGTGCCAATCCAAGATCAAGTGGCCCCATGGTTTTAGGCCTCTAGCAAGAGCAGTATATCATAGTAGGAGTGTGTGGAAGAGCAAACCAGTCACATATAGATCCAGGAAGCAGAGAGAGAGACTGAGAGATCAGTTTTCCACAATCTCCTTTGACACAATACCCCTCAATGATCCAAAGTCCTTCCTTAAACCTCACATCCTAAAGGTCCACAGAGCCTTCTGGTATTACCACCCTGGGGACCACCCTTCTGGTAGTACCATCCCTTTACATGTCGTGAACCTTTGGGTCTTATTTTAATTAACATAATTGGCTGAAACTTGAACTTTGTAAAGTTTTTTCTGTATTTTTAAATTTCATCTAATCATAATGGAAGCTCTTAAGCTTACATATGCACCTTTTATTATTTGGAAAATCTTTCTCCAATGAATAAAAATTATTTAAAACTTCTTTCTGGTACACAGTGTGCAGTCCAATTAAATTAACCTCACCTCCTCATTTCCTTCTCAGAAAATTTGTCATTGATATACAGAAATGCCTTTGATTATCGGTGTTGACTTTATATCCTGCTACTTTGCTGAATTCATTTACTAGTTCTAGAAGTTTTCTGGTGGAGCTTTTTGGGTCTTCTAGGTATAGAATCATATTGTCAGCAAATACTGCTAATTTAAGTTCTTCTTTTCCTATACATATCCCTTTAATTTCTTTTGTCTGTCTAATTGCTCTGGCCAGTGTTTCAAGAACTATGTTAAATAGAAGTGGAGAAAGAGGGCATTCTTGTCTTGTTTCAGTTTTTAGAGGGAATGCCTTTAATTTTTCTCCATTTAGAATAATGTTGGCCTGAGGCTTAGCGTAGATAGCTTTTCGATGCTGACATATGTTCTTGTTATCCTTAGTAGCCTCAAAAAAAAATCAAGTACTTGGGAATCAATGAAAGAGGTGAAAGATCTATACAATGAAAACTACAGGACACTAAAGAAAGAAATCAAAGAAGACCTTAGAAGATGGAAAGATCTACCTTGCTCTTGGATAGGCAGAATTAATATTATCAAAATGACCATACTACCAAAAGCACTATATAGATTTAATGCAATTCTGATCAAAATCCCAGTGGCATTCCTCATAAAATTAGAAAAAGCAATCATGAAATTCATCTGGAAAAATAAGAGACCCAGAATAGCTAAAGCAAACCTTAGCAGGAAGAGTGAAGCAGGTGGCATCACTATACCAGATCTTAAACTATACAGCAGAGCAATAGTAACAAAACCAGCATGATATTGGCACCAAAACAGACTGGTAGACCAATGATACAGAATAAAGGATGCAGAGACTAACCCACAAGATTACAATTATCTTATATTAGACAAAGGTGCCCAAAACATGCATTGGAGAATAGATAGCCTCTTCAACAAATGGTGCTGGGAAAACTGGAAATCCATATGCAACAAAATGAAATTAAACCCCTGTCTCTATCGTGCACAAAACCCAACTCAAAGTGGATCAAGGACTAAGAAATTAAATCAGAGACTCTGCATCTTATAGAAGAAACAGTAGGCCCTAATCTTCATCATGTGGGATTAGGCCCCAACTTCCTTAATAAGACTCCTATAGCACAAGAATTAAAACCAAGAATCAATAAATAGGATGCATTCAAACTAAAATGTTTCTTCTCAGTAAAAGAAATAATCTGTGAGGTGAATAGAAAGCCTACATCCTGGGAGCAAATTTTTACCCCTCACACATCAGATAGAGCACTAATCTCTAGAGCATATAAAGAACTCAAAAAGCTAAGCACCAAAAACACAAATAACCCAATCAATAAATGCGCCAAGGACCTGAACAGACACTTCTCAGAAGAGGATATACAATCAAGAACAAATATATGAAAAAAATGTTGATCATCTCTAGCAATTAGAGAAATGCAAATCAAAACTACTCTAAGATATCATCTCACTCCAGTCAGAATGGCAGCTGTTATGAAGACAAACAACAATAAGTGTTGGTGAGGATGTGGGGAAAAAGGTACACTCATACATTGCTGGTGGGACTGCAAATTGGTGCAGCCAATATGGAAAGCAGTATGGAGATTCCTTGGAAATCTGGGAATGGAACCACCATTTGACCTAGCTATCCCTCTCCTCGGTCTATACCCAAAGGACTTAAAATCAGCATACTACAGGGACACAGCCACATCAATGTTTATAGCAGCACAATTCAYAGTAGCCAACCTAGATGCCCTTCAGTGGATGAATGGATAAAAAAAAAATGTGGCATATATACACAATGGAACTGTGATGAACTGTGATGTTGGTCAGATCTGACTCTAATCCTACATCTACCACTTGCTAGAGTTTTGGACAAATTACTTAAACTTTCTGAGCCCCACTTTACATACTTTTAAGATAAGGAAAATAATGACTTCTAAGGTTGTCGTGATGTTACATTACATACACAACACAGTTCTGGAATGTAGTAGGTTCTTAACAAATATTTGATGTTCTCCTTGTTTTTTGTTACCACCCCGAGGCCTGGAAGTCCTATACCTAAGGTCTCATTAAACTTTTGTTGAATGACTGAATGATTAAATGAATGCATATTCTTGTCAGAAGAATTTTACATATATATGTATATATGCACATCATATAAACCATAAACAAATAATATTATAGAATGTATTGCTATTAGTTTTACTTTTTTCAGTTTAGTTGTAACTTAAGAATGTATTCTGTCAGGCTTCAAAGTTATTGGTGCTTTGTGTCTATTGAGTAGAGATGGAATTCTAAGTAGTTTCACTGCACCAGTCTCTGCCTTCCATATCTTAGAAGTTTTTTTTTTTTGCCTTTAAGATATTCCATGTGGTCACCATTTTGGAATTGTATTTTTTTCCCAGTACTGGGTATGAACCCAGAGGAACTTTACCACTCAGCTACATCTGAGAGCTTTAATTTTTTATTTTGAGACAGGGTCTTGCTAAGGTGCTGAGGCTGGCCTTGAACTTGTGATTCTCTTGCCTCAGCCTACCCAGTAGATAGAATTACATGTGTGCACCCTCACACCAATCACTTATATGGTTTAAGGAATAAATGTTGTCCTTGATCATCCTCCTGTCCTTCCTTGTGGCATTCTTTTGGTTTCACTTTCATTTATAGAATTTCCTTTAGATTTTACTGATACTATTTGTAGACTTAACTTTACCTATCACTTAGAGCTCAAAATCTACTATAGGAAATGCTTATGGGGTTTCCTTATTTATATTTGTGACAATGTAGAAGCTATGAACACTCCCCCCAGAAAAATGTACATATGGACAGGTGGGATAGAATATACCTATAATCCCTGAAACTTGGGAGGGTAAGGTAGGAGGATTGCAAGTTTGAGGCCAGCCTCAGCAACTTAGCAAGACCCTAAGCAACTTAGTGAGACCATGTCTCAAAAATAAAAAGGGCTGAGGATGTGACCCAGTGCTAAAGCACCCCTGGGCTTCATCCTCAAATTCCAAAAATAAATAAACATTTCAAAAAAAATAAAATTTAAAAATTTAACAAAGTACAGTTCATCTTCACTTATCACCATTTCTCCTTTAACTCTGTAGAAAGTACAAGTGTACAAACAAAAGTTCTTATATTAGTTTAGGAGGTTTGTGGACTCCTTTTCTAGATTGTGTGTTTCTTCAGTGCAATACCTGAGTTTTATTGACCTCTGTGTCTATTGCAAGCCTACACCACACATAAGAGATACTCATTAAATTGTTTGTGAATTGATGAAAGTAAGACTCTTAAAGTTTCTTACTATAGAATCTCTAAACAGGCATTTCTTTTTTTGTTTCCTTAGGCTTTCATCTGAGTGGCACAGTAACTGAGCCACCCACTGCTTCTGAACCAGCAGTGACTTACAAAGTTGCAATCAGTTTTGATCGATGCAAAATCACTTCAGTGACATGTGGCTGTGGGAATAAGGACATATTCTACTGTGCTCATGTGGTAGCACTCTCACTCTACAGGATCCGGAAGCCAGACCAAGTCAAATTGCGTCTTCCTATCTCGGAAACCCTTTTCCAGATGAATAGGGACCAGCTACAGAAGTTTATTCAATATTTAATCACGGCACACCACACTGAAGTTCTTCCTACTGCACAAAAGCTGGCAGATGAGATTCTGTCCTCCAACTCAGAAATCAACCAAGTGAATGGTAATTGTATAACATTTTTCTTGCTAAAAATGGTTATTTTCACCACCATTGTCACTAAGCAACCCTCTTCTCTGTACCATAGTGCTTTACTATATTTTTAGAGGTTGAGATATTTCTGCAATTGTAGTCATTTAACCTTACAATTCATTCTGTCCAAAAACTCTGCGTTTAATTCATAGTTTCTTAAAGCAGTCAAATTGTAACATCCTTGTATGCATATGTAGAGGGCAAAAGACTGGAAGGAAATTCATGATAATATTAACAATGGTAATCTATAGATATTAGAATTATAGGTATAGTTTTTAATGCTTTAGTGTAATTTCTATAATAAGTATATGTTATTTTTATAATTTAATAAGAACATTTATGTTTAAGAATGAAAAAAATGGTTCCTTAGATTTAATAATTCTCTCAGGACTAGACTCACTAGACAGCCTGATGTTAACCTGGTGCCTCAACCCATACAATGATTTGTCTCATAATGATTTATAAAAGACATCCTTTCCAATTTGTCTTCACTTATCATCATTTCTCCTTTAACTCTGTGAAAAATTCAGAATATAAAATATTATTTAGTTAGTAGACCCACTTTACCATTTACTAGAAGGTAAGTAGTTTGATTCTCACCTACTTTTTTTCTTTTAATATTTTTTTAAATGTAGATGGACGCAATACATTTATTTTATTTATTTATTTTTATGTGGTGCTGAGGATCAAACCCAGTGCCTCACACATGCAAGGCAAGTGCTCTACCACTGAGCCACAACCCCAACCCTCATTCTCATCTATTTTTATGAAAAGGCTAAAATATTCTAACCAGTGAACCAGCATAGGGGCATTATAATTTTATTAAAACAAGAGCTTTTTAAAAAATCTTTTAACTGGAATTTGAAGAACAGCTGAAGAAGCCAATTTTAAACTCCAGTCGTAGTTTATCTTATTAAAATGATCTATGGTCTTGTTCATTCATTCCTAAATACAGTCCCCTCCTCTGCTCTCTGAACTTTGAACATTGATATTTCTTATTTAGTCTCATTTTCTCTCTCTTTTTTTTTTTACTTTGCATGATCACTATCTCAGCTACATCCTTGACTTCAGATGTCATCTATATACTATGACTCATAGATTTTATTTCCCCAGCCCAAATTTTCTGAGCTTTAGACTTTATATCCACCTGATTGATCTTAGGATGTCTCTGTGATGTTAAACAATCCTAAGATCAACATATCTAAATGTGAATTTATGATCCTCTTCCCTAAACTTGCTTGTTTTCCTGTATTTACTATCTCAATAATTAGCACTACTGTTTAGTTATTAGATTGTGATGGAAACCTCATAGTTAACCTTAGCATCTTTCTTTCCTATATTCCATGTGCATTCCACTGCAAGATCTGTTAATTTTACCCCTTAAATATATTTCATCATTTTCTACTTTTATTGATATTGTTGTCACCTTAAATTAATCAGTCTCTCATCTAGATTGCCACATAGCCTTCAGACTGGTCTTTCCATATCCATCATTGTTCCCTTCTGTTCCATTCTCTGTACAGCCATTCAAAGTAATTTTTCTGTAACTGCAGATATTGTGATATCATTTATCATTTAAAATCCTTTAGTGGCCTCATTTTTCTGGATGCATGATCTGGCTTTTGTCTTCATTTTCACATGATATTCTTTCTGTCCTCTCTTCCTATCCCATTCCACTTACAATGGTTATATTTAATGAATAGAATGACTTATGACTTAATGCTGTTTTCAAACAAAAAATACAGTATTTCCTCCTCTCTGTGCCAGACTAATTTCCATTTATTCCTCAGGTGTCATCTTAAATGTGACTTTCTCAAGGAAAGCCTCCTTTGACCCATCTTCCTTTCTATAGAAAAAAAAATGTGTACATGTGGCAGGTGAGGAAGTTGCTCAGTGGTAAAGTGTTTGCCTAGCATATGTGAGATCCTGGGTTCAAGCCCCAGCAATGCAAAAAAAAAAAAAAAAGAAAAGAAAAGAAAAGAAAGAAAGAAAGAAAAGTACACATGTGATCATTTACTTAACATCTCCCTCCCCAACTAGTCTATAAGCTCCATGAAAGCAGATTATATGAGTTAATTATTTATTGTGGAATGAGTGAATGTGAACCATCCTAATTCCCTAGAGAGTAAGATGCACTAAAAAAGCTTAGCAGAGGAGCTGGGGCTGTGGCTCAGCGGTAGAGCGCTCACCTAACAGGTGCAAGGCCCTAGGTTCAATCCTCAGCACCACATAAATAAATAAAATAAAGGTAAAAAAATTAAGATATACAACTTGGTTTAAAAAAAATAGCAGAAGAGTAACTTTGTTGTACAAACCCAGATTTCATTTAAACAGGGTTTTGACATAGAGAAATAAGGAAAAAATGCACTAACTGATTAAAATGTGTTATGTGTTTATACTCTATTGTATGACTACATTTATGGAGTGTTGACTTAGGGTCAGTCTCTTATTACTTGGAATCAGTTTTCTAAAAACTTGTCAGAGGACTCTGTCTATAAGACAGTAAGAGAAGATTCAGCTTTCATTCCAAAAACTTTTCCAAAATGCCTGTCACAATACATGCTATAGTTGATGCAGTTATGGATTCAATTGTGAGCAAGGGGCTAACAGTCTACTTGGGAAGAGGGCAGCTTATAGGAATTGCATTAAATCTGTACAGCACTTTGAGTAGTATGGCCATTTTGATAATATTGATTCTGCCTATCCAGAAGCATGGGAGATCTTTTGAGCTATTGAAAACCAGAATCCTTAGAGGCAAGACTTTATAATCTACATTTTAAACACAAACCCCAGATGATTATTCTATTACATTAACATTTGAGAACACTGTTATCCTCACTGTGAAAAAAGTGCATTATTCTGACTAATTTCATATTTTGTATAGTAGGGTAGTCCAAGAAAGAATGGACTCTCTGTAAATAGTGTAATGAATCCATAACTGCGTCAACTATAGCATGTATTGTGACAGGCATTCTGGAAAAGTTTTTGGAATGAAAATTGAATCTTCTCTCACTATCTTATAGACAGAGTCCTGTGACAAGTTTTTTTTTATTATTACTTGGAAGCAGTCCTGTGACTGCTTCCAAGTAATAATAGACTGACTCTGTAAAGCAGTTTTAGAGTGAATTTTAATTTTATGTTTTAAGAAATAATTTTTTGTTTTAAAATACTACATAGACATTAAGACATATTTAAACTTCATAGAAAAGCAAACAGAAGAAAAAGTGTCAGTTACTAGAAAAAATATTCATCACTGTTTTCCTGTTGTGTTTTGAGAATACAAAGAAAAAACAAAGTCAGTTTCCCCTACCATACCCTCTGAACACAACACAGAATGCTTCTATGACCAAAAATGTGGGGGATTTTCCTCCACACACTAATCAAACAATTCTTCAGCTGACACCTGATTGTCCTAACCAATTCAATTCTGACAGTATCAACCTGAAGATAGCTAAGATCCTACAACTGAGGGCCCAGTCCTTCCCCACCCCACTTCAGATGCCAATCAAAAAGCCCCAGCTTGACACTATGAAGGCAGTTCTAAGGGGAAAGTTCATTATATTGAGCTCATTCATTAAAAGAACAGAAAATCACCAAATAAATAACCTAACTTTATATCTCAAAGCCTTAGAAAAAAGAACAAATTGGCACCAAAAAGCAGTAGAAGATGGGAAATAATAAAAATCTGAGCCAAAATTAATGAAATTGAAACCAAAAAATTTTTAAAAATCAATGAAACAAAAATTTGATTTAAAAAAAAAATAAACAAAATAGGTAAACCCTTAGCCAAACTAATGAATAAGAAGAGAAAATACAAATACTAAAATTCACAATGAAAACGGAAATACTACCATGGACACCACTGAAATACAGATGATAATCAGAAGCTGCTTTGAAAATCTGTACTCCAATAAAATAGAAAATCTGAAAGTCATCAGATTTCTAGAGACATATTAATTACCCAACTTGAATCGAGGGGACATAAAAATTTAAACAGATTAATTTCAAGCAATGAAACTGAAGATGCCATCAGAAGCCTGCTAACAAAGAAAAGCCAAGGACCAGATGGATTCTCAGTCAAGTTCTACAAGACCATCAAAGAAAAACTTATACCAGCACTTATTAAATTATTCCATGAAATTGAAAAGGAGGGAACCCTTCCAAACTCATTCTATTATCTTCCTGATACCAAAACCAGAAAAAGACAAAATATAGTTCACCATGAACAAGTGGGATTCATTCCAAGGATGCAAGGTTGGCTTAACATACAGAAATCAGTAAATGTAATTCACCACATCAATAGACTTAAAGAAAAGAATCACATGATTATCTCAATAGATGCAGAAAAAGCATTTGACAAAATTCAGCATCCACTCATGCTTGAAACACTAGAAAAACTAGCGATAGTRGGATCATACCTCAACATTATAAAAGCTATACACACTAAACCCAAGGCAAATCTAAATAGAGGAAAAACTCAAAGCATTCCCTCTAAAACGTGAAACAATAAATGGATGCCCTCATTTACCACTCCTATTCAACATAGTCCTTGAAACCCTAGCCAGAGCAATCAGACAAGAGAAAGAAATTAAAGGGATACAAATAGGAAAAGAAGAGCTAAACTATCCCTGTTTGTCAACAACATGATTCATATTTAGAAGATCCACAAAACTACTAGAAAATTACTAGAACTCATAAATGAATACAAAGTAGCATGGTTTAAAATCAACACTAATAAATCAATTGCATTTCTGTACACCAAAGGTATATCAGCTGAATGAGAAATTAGGAAAACTATCAACTTTACAGTAGCCTCAAAAAATAAAATATTTTGGGAATCAACCTAACAAAAGAGGTGAAAGACTTCTATAATGAAAACTGCAGAACTAAAGAAAGAAATTGAAGAAGACCTCAAAAAAATGGAAAAGATCTCCATTGCTCCTGGATATGCAGAATCAATATTATCAAAATGGCCATACTACCAAAAGTTCTGTAAGATTTAATGCAGTTCCTATAAAGATCCCAATGATATTTTTCACAGAAATAGAAAAAGCAAACATGAAATTCATTTGGAAAAATAAGAGGCCCTGAATAGCCAAAGCAATCCTTAGCATGGAATGTGATGCAGGAGGCATCACAATACCAGACCTTAAATTATACTACTGAGCTATAGTAGTATAAAAATAGCATGGTATTGGCATCAAACCAATCATGAAGACCATTGGAACAAAAGACACAAGGATAAATCCACATAAATACAGTTATCTCATCCTAGACAAAGGCACCACAGACATACATTAGAGAAAAGATAGCCTCTTCAACAAATGATGCTGGGAACACTGGAAATACATATGTAATAGAATGAAACTGAACCCCTATATCTCACCCTGCACAAAACTCAACTCTAAGTGGATCAAAGACCTAGGCATTAGACCAGAGACCCTGTACTTACTATTAGAAAAAGTAGGCCCAACACTCTAACATGTTGGCTTCAGAATTCCTCAACAAGACTCCTAAAGTGCAAGAAGTAAAATCAAGAATCAATAAATGGAATGGTATCAAACTGAAAAGCTTCTTCATATCACAGGAATCAATCAAGAATGTGTACAGAGATCCTACAGATTGAGAGAAAATCTTCACCACCAATACCTCAGATAAGGCATTAATTTCCAGGATATACAAAGAACTCAGAAAGCTTAACATGAGAAAAATAAATAACCCAATCAATAAATGGGCAAAGGAACTGAACAGGTACTTCACAGAAGAAGAAATATGAGTGGTCAAATATATGAAAAAATATTCAACATCTCTAGCAATTAGAAAAATACAAATTAAAACTACACAGATTCCATCTTACTCCAGGTTAGAATGGCAGTTATAAACAATACAGATAAGAATAAATGTTGGTGAGGATGTGGGGGAGAAAGATACTTTCATACATTATTGGTGGGACTGCAAATTGGTGCAACCTCTATGGAAAACAGTACGGAGATTCCTCAGAAACCTTGGAATGGAGCCACCATTTGACCCAGTTATCCTGCTCCTCGGTCTATACCCCAAAGACTTAAAAACAGCATACTATAGTGATGCAGCCACTTCCATGTTTATAGCAGCTCAACTCACAATAGCTATGCTATGGAAACAACCTAGGTATCTTTCAACAGATGAATGGTTAAAGAAAATGTGGTATATATACACAATGGAATATTACTCAGCCATAAAGAAAAGTGCAATTATGGCATTTGCCAGTAAAAGGATGGAACCAGAGAATATCACACTAAGTGAAATAAGCCAATCCCCCCAAAAAACAAAGGCCGAATAGTCTCTCTGATTTGTGGATGCTCTCCCAAAACAAGGAAGATTGGGAAGGAAATAATAGAAATAGATTGGACTATACATAGGATAATGAAGGGAAGGGATTAGGGAGGGGAATAGGAAAGAGTAGAATTAATTAGTCGTAACTTTCCTAGCTTTGTATTTGTATATACCCAACCAGGGTAACTCCACATCATGTATGACAACAAGATTGAGAACCTAACAGAATAAGTTTTACTTTATGTATATATGTTCTTCCAAAATATATATATATTTTTTAAAAAGCCCCAGGTTGTTTTAGCTGTGCTTCTGACTACAAATTGAGGTTCCCACAACTCCCCTCTCAATCTTGATTAATTTGCAAGAGTGGCTTACCAAAATCAGGGTAACATTTACTTGTATTTACCAGTTTATTATAAAGAATGTTACAAAAAATACAAATGGAAACATGTACAGGACAAGGTATGAGAGAAGAGCAGCCAAGCGTCCATACTCTCTCCTGGTGTGCCACTCTCTAGGAACCTCCCCATGTTCTGCCATCTGGAAGCTCTACAAATCCTGTCCCCTTGGGTTCTTATGGAGGCTTCATTACATAAGCATGATTAATTAATTTATTGGTCATTGGTTGGTCAACTTAACCTTCAACCCCTGTCCCTTTCTGGAAGGTTGGGGTATAGAGCTAAAAGTCTTACTTACATCCTTGAATATTCCAAGGATTTTAGAACTTATGCCAGGACWTAGGACAGAGACCAGATACACATTTCATAATATCACCTGTGTATTTCCTAATAGGCTAATCCCCTGATGGTTTTGTATCCTTGGGAGAGGATACAACTGTGACTTATGTGAATTTGAAACTAGCATTTGATCTCTTACATTTATTTTGACAAAACCCGTAAAACAAGAAATAACCCTTCTGTGTTTGATTATGCTCACAACCTGCCTCTAGATGAGTGTGTAGCATGTGAACTCAAGGATTAATTTCACTGTTCCCATTCCTTACAGGTGCCCCTGATCCCACAGCTGGGGCCAGCATTGATGATGAGAACTGTTGGCACTTAGATGAGGAACAGGTAAAAGAACAAGTGAAGCTCTTTCTCTCCCAGGGAGGTTACTATGGCTCTGGAAAGCAGCTCAACTCAATGTTTGCCAAGGTAAGACATGAAAAAGCTTAATTGTTTTAAACTTTTAAGTAAACTCAGCTCACCATACTTCTGTCTTCATGCATTAAACATATCTCACTTGACTTAGCTAGCTGCCTAAAACCTAGTGGGAGGGGTTAAGCAGAGCAGCCCTAAGAAGACTGTATCCAGGGAGCATGACTACCTTACCCTGGTGTCCTGTTTCTTCTCCATTCTAAATAAGCTATTGTTGCTGGTGGCATTTAATGAGGAAACCATCTTCTCTCTTTGAACCTGAGGTTGCTAGATGAAGCCTCAAAGACTATAGTTTCAACAATGTCCATGGAAGTCAGTGTTTTGAAACTGGGGACCCCTATAATCAGCTTTCTTTCTTTTTTCCCCCTCATACCTTTAGTGAGATATGACCCACATACCATACAATTCATCCATTTAAAGTATACAATTCAATAGTTTTTGGTATATTCACAGATATATGCAGCCATCATCACAATTAGCATTTTCATCATCTCAGAAGAAAACTCATACCTTAGCCTATCCCACTCTCATCCTCCATATCCCTTTACTCCAGCCCTCTAATCTACTTTTAGTCTCTATAGGTTTCCCTGTTCTGGACTTTCATATGAATAGAATCATATAGTACGTAGTGTTTTATGACTGGCTTCTTTCACTTAGCCTAGTTTTTTTTTTTTTCTAGGTTTATCTGTGTTTTAGCATGAACCAGTACTTCATTCCTTTTTTTTTTTTTTTATGGCCTAATGATAGTCCATGGTATGGACACTCTACGTTTTTTTGTTTTTTTTTTTTATCTTTTTTTCCTGTAGATAAATGGATGTGGACATTTGGATAGTTTTTACCTTTTGGCTATTATAAATAATGTTGCTATAAACATTATTGTACAAGTACTTGTGGGCCATTTTCCAAGGTGGTTGCATCATTTTTACAATCTTGCCAACAATATATGTGGTTCTGATTTCTCTATATTTTGGCCAACACATGTTTTCTGACTTTTTGACTCTAGCCAGCCTAGTTGATGTGACAAGGTATCTCGTTATGTACAACAAGCTTTCTTGGCACATGCAGAGACCTTGCTTACAGATCTTGCTTTTTTCTGGCTCTTTGGATATGTTGTGCTCAATACATCAACATACCCTACTCTCCTTCATTCTTTCCTATCTTTTTATTCTCTATACTCTCTATCTCTTGCCCTTCCTTATGTGTCAGGTTCGAGAGATGCTACGGATGAGAGATTCTAATGGAGCCAGGATGCTGACACTTATAACTGAGCAGTTTATGGCTGACCCACGACTCACACTTTGGAGGCAGCAAGGAACAAGCATGACAGACAAGTGCAGGCAGCTCTGGGATGAACTAGGTAAGTTGCCATCTCTCAGAGAAGTGCTATGTCCAACCACCTCACCCTCTGGTGACATTAGTGATCATTCGCTATCAGTTATTGCCTGGGTCTTGCTGAATCTAACTGGTGGAGAAGTTCTACACCATAGTAACTCTGAACTTACTTTTTTTTGTTTCTGTAGCATTGTGCTTTGCTATTGACATTAGCATTCTGTTCCATATGATACCCACAAAAAAGCCCTGGCTGAAATAAAACCTCTTCACTTAGTTTTTGTTGAATAGCACTAGCCTAGTTTTTCACATATTTGTCAGGCTCACCCTTGTTGCTTCTCTGAGTCTTCTCTTCTATATCACTCATGGCAAGAACTCATATACATAATATGACAGTTTCCAAGGCTTAGACTTCGACTTACTGTTCCTTCTCCGTACTCTCTTAAGAATTTTTTCTTTGTGGGGGGTGCTACCAGAGATGGAACTCAGGGATACTCAAACACTGAGCCACATCCCCAGCCCTATTTTGTATTTTATTTAGAGACAAGGTCTCACTGAGATGCTTAATGCCTCAGCCTCCTGAACCGCTGGAGGCAAGAATTTCAGCCACTGTGCCTGGCAAGAATTTTTTTCTTTTTTAAATATCATGACTTCAGAGCTTACTTGCAGATCTCAAACTTACCTTCTTTCCATTCATCTAGTCCCATGTTAGAGGCTACCCATTTGCCATTTCCACTGGGAATTCCAAATTAACTTGGGCCTTCTATAAAAATAGGTTCCCATGCTAGCATTGACCCCAGTGTTCCTTACTCTACCAAATTTCTTTAATTCCCTACATCCAGATTCCAACTTCATTTGATTTCATGACCTTTAAGTGCTTTCAGTGTCCATTCTAATTTTTTCTTCCCTATCACCCCTAGTCTGATAGAAGACCTAAGAACTTTTAGATTACATTAGAACTTTGGCCTTCTGAATGGCCTCTCTATTCTAATTTCTCCCCCAATCAAGGCAGTCCTCTTTGGTCATTATTTCTCTTTTTCATTCCCCTGCTTCAAGACAAATTTTGCAATGCTAATACTTAGCTCCTCTACCTATTGACAGAATCTTCTATACCCTGAACTCATCATTCAACCCTTGCCGCATTTGGGGTTATATTGAGAAAATTCTCTTATGGTATATTCTAAAGTTCTAATACAGCTTCTCCATATGTCCCCTAATCCAGAAAACAAACTTCCCACGCATACAAAATACCACAAGAAATGATGGCAGCCAACTTGGGATTTCAGTGAGTTCTAGAATGAAGCCTGTGTTTGATAGTATAGCTCTGAAGATGTCAAGGTTATGGCTTAATGACTTTGGTACCATCCTTGGTTATTTGGGGGCTGGTAAGCCTGGGTTTTTGGTTTGGGTGGTGAGGCTTTTCTATACAACCTAGAGTAATAATGGCTTTGCTGTTCTTATTAATTGCAAATAGGGGAGGAAAAAATGGGGGGAATCATGAACTGAAATCAATTTCCATGCATGTATGAGTTTTTCAGGATGAGCAAAACTACTCTTATAACTATAAAGCTCTAATAAAATAATAATAAATAGGTACATTATTGGTATGTGCTAGTCTTTGTGTTGAAGATTATACTCTCATTATTTCATTTAATTCTTATAATAATTTTATGAAGTACTTGTACACTTATTGCAAGGAAACAAAAACAAATCTGGTTACTGCTGCATACAGAATAAAATAAGGAATTATAGATAAAGTCTCTCTGCTATGATGTAGTGACACTTTGTGGAGTGTAAGAATGTTACACTATGAACTGGGTTGTGGCTCAGTGGTAGAGCACTTCCCTCGCATGTGAAGCACTGGGTTCGATTCTCGGCACTGCATATAAATAAATGAATAAAGTAAAGGTCCATCAACAACTAAAGAAACATTAAAAAAATGTTACACTATTAGTCTATAGCTACTGTTCAACCAGTTGTTTTCCAGAGGCTGACTTTGAACTTGTGATCCTCCTGCTTCCTGCCTCATGACACAAAGCATGGAAACTTAGAAACTGCTTCTAAACTATTCCCTTGAAAGGGATTGTAGATATGGACTTCCTTCCAGGGTAAGATATTTCTGTATGAGAAAACTTAGCTCAGAAAAATTCCGTATTTTCTTTAGGGTCACACACTATTAAGTGGTGGTTCTAACACTGGACTCCTGCTCTGTCTGATTCTAAGTCAAGCATTCCTCAGTTCTATCTTATGTCCTTTCCTCAATCCCACAAAAGTGTATGTTGCTTGAGAATTTGAAATTATCCTTCTTCAAAGAGTCAGTTTCATCTGAGGCCTAAGTGTCTTAGAGTGACTTCTGTGCCAATCATGGGATTGTGATTTGTATTTGGACTTGGCCTTTGGGACAAAAAGTAACTGTGTGGGGCTGGGGATGTGGCTCAAGCGGTAGCGCGCTCGCCTGGCATGCGTGCGGCCCGGGTTCGATCCTCAGCACCACATACCAACAAAGATGTTGTGTCTGCCGATAACTAAAAAAAAAAAAATATTAAAATTCTCTCTCTCTCTCTCTCTCTCTCTCTCTCTCTCTCTTTAAAAAAAAAAAGTAGCTGTGAGGAAGTAAACAGAGCTGTTTCACAGGGTTTTTAAAGTTTTGTAATATACTTGTGTTCATTATGAATAATTCTCATTTCTGACATTTTCATATCTAAGAAAATGTTTATAAGACATTTTTACGTTTGGAGGGTCTAGGCAGGGGTGGTAGGAACTACCAATTATAATAAAATAAAATAAGCTCACTGCTTTTAGTTCCTGAGCTAGACAAAATAAGAGCAATCAGACATGATGACTCCTCACCTTCCCACATACAAATGTATTTACCCAGCCACATCTGTACCCGTATGCTTGGCCTTCTCTTCTTTTAAAATCTAGTGAATATGTTCCCATGAAAGACCAATCCTTATTTATTTGCTCTGGATTCTTCCTATCTCCTTTTCTCAAGAACTTTGCTCCTGCAGTTTTCTCCTTTCTCTGACATTACTAATTTCTCTTACTGTGTGTGTGGGGGGCGGGGGCTGTCTGTCTCTCAGATCATTCCTATCAATGTGCAATTATGCTCTGATATCTTGAATCTCAAATTTAATAAACAGTTTGTTTGATGTTCCAACCACCCCCCCCTTCAACTACCACCCCATTTCTCATCTTCCCTTCAAAGTAATACTTCTAAAAATAGTGGTCACTCTTTCCATTTCCTTACCTCCATTCTCCCTTGAGCATACYCCGTTTGGGTTTCCATTGTTCATTGCTGCCACTCTACTAAAGTAACTCTTGTCAGAATCACCAGTAAGATTTCCATATTGCTACACACAATATGAAGACATCTTATCATTTGTCATCTTATTTGACTTCTTAGCAGTTTTCAATAAAATTAACCATACTCTTCTTGAAACTTATTCTTCTATTGGTTTCTATAACTGTACATACTCTTGGTTTTCTTCCTATATTTCTGACTACTTTTTCTCAGTCCCATATGCATCCTCCTCTACCTTCCCTCAGTACTTCTAAATACTGAGTATCACACATATACAGCACAATTTTTCATATCTCCAGTTGTATATAAAGAATGTTGGCACCAATTCGTGTCTTCATACATGTCCTTTGGATAATGATGTCCATCACATTCCACCATCCTTGCTAACCCCCTGCCCCCTCTCTTTCCCTCCCACTCCTCTACCCTATCTAGAGTTCCTCTATTCCTAACTATGAATCACCCTCCTTATATCAAAGAAAACATTTGGCATTTGTTTTGGGGGGGATTGGCTAACTTCATTTAGCATTATCTTCTCCAAYGCCATCCATTTGCCTGCAAATGCCATGATTTTATTCTCTTTTATTGCTGAGTAAAATTCCATTGTGGATATATGCCACATTTTTTAAATCCATTCATCCACTGAAAGGCATCTAGGTTGGCTCCACAGTTTAGCTATTGTGAATTGTGCTGTTATAAAGATTGATGTGGCTGTGTCTCTGTAGTATGCTGATTTTAAGTCCTTTGGGTATAGACCGAGGAGAGGGATAGCTGGGTCAAATGGTGGTTCCATTCCCAGATTTCCAAGGAATCTCCATACTGCTTTCCATATTGGCTGCACCAATTTGCAGTCCCACCAGCAATGTACGAGTGTGCCTTTTTCCCCACATCCTCACCAACACTTATTGTTGTTTGTCTTCATAACAGCTGCCATTCTGACTGGAGTGAGATGATATCTTAGAGTAGTTTTGATTTGCATTTCTCTAATTGCTAGAGATGATCAACATTTTTTCATATATTTGTTGATTGTATATCCTCTTCTGAGAAATGTCTGTTCAGGTCCTTGGCGCATTTATTGATTGGGTTATTTGTGGTTTTGGTGCTTATCTTTTTGAGTTCTTTATTTACTTTAGAGATTAGTGCTCTATCTGATGTGTGAGGGGTAAAAATTTGCTCCCAGGATGTAGGCTTTCTATTAACCTCACAGATTGTTTCTTTGTGCTGTATATGTATAATAAGAATTGTAATGCATTCCACTGTCACTTATTTTTTAAAAAATCAATCAATCAATACTGAGTATCCCACAGCACCCACCTCCCTGTATGTGTTTGCTACGTGGATGATTACATTCATTTCCATGGTTTTAAATGCATCCAGATGAAGGCAAGTAACAAATTTCCGTATGTAAGGGTTGGGAGTGTAGTTCAGTGGTAGAATACTTGCCTAGCATGCACAAGACCCTGGGTTCTAACCCCAGGACCCCAAAAGAACAAAAACAAATTTATATCTCTAGCTTTGACCCTTTCCCTTGAGCTTCAGACTGTGTCCAGCTGCCTGTAACTTCTAAGAATTCTAAGAAACATCTTAAACTCAATATAGCCATTACAGAACTCTTAATTCCACGCCAAACCCTGATTTTCCCTTGTTGTCCCCATTCAGTACACAGTATCAGATGTGATTTTTTTTTTTTTTTTTTGGTACCAGGGATTGAACCCAGAGGCCCTTAACCATTGAACCACATCCCCAGCCCTCCCCCCATTTTAAGACAGGATCTTGCTAAATTGCTGAGGCTGGGCTTAAATTTGTAATCCTCCTGTCTCAGCCTTCCAGGTTGTTGGGATTACAGGTGTGTGCCACAATGTTCAGCTGTATCTAGTTACTCACAAAGAAAATGTAAGCAAAATTCTTGTTCCCCCATTTTCTACCTTCTATATCCAAACCAAGACTATTTTATCCTTAAGAGTTTGAAGAGCGAATGAAATAATCTATATAAAATGCTTAAAATAATACCTAGATGATAAAAAGAAAGAGAAGATTGCTATTCTTATTATATGTTATATAATAATTATGTACATTTTAAACTTCCATAATAGCTACCTTTGTTTAGAATTTTTGACACTGTTTTAAGTTGCAGGAAAACACACATGCTTTTGGATACTGATAACACAGTATTATGAATGCTATTATATATAGGCAACTGTAGGATTTATCTTGCTTTGGACCTTAAGAGATGTGACAGTTTCTGAAACAAATTATTTTAAGAACCTAATTAATAAGAGAGAAAACTCATTTTAAATTTATAGGCGAAAGTACTTAAACTTACTTTCTAAGGCTCCTCTTCTTAATATTGGAATGATGAAATAGGAATTCCTATGTGACTATAGCATTAGTACTGTTTCTTTACCTCTTAAAGCCTCTCTCACCTTACTCAATCTGTCTTCCATTCCTATTATCTTAATGATTTTGCCATTTTTAGATCATAAGTCTTTCAAGTAGCCAAATATAGTGGCTTCATTTTGGTCTTCATTTCTATGTATGAAGATTAAATGTGAAAATCTTTTTCTTTGCTATAGATGAAAAGCATTTCTTCAACTATAAAATAAATACTACTATTATAATTACCTTATGAGCCATTATTATAATTATTACATAGTATTCTTTCTTCTTTGTAGCACATTTTTAAAATGGAGTTGAACCAATAAAATGAACTTTCATTTTCAGTTAGCTATCTCAAATTGAGGCTAAGATGACCTTTTAAAACGTTCCTGTTTGATTTTGAGGACCTTTGAAATACTGTTTGAATGTACCTCCATCCATGGAGGATGTAATTCCATCACAAAATATATTTAATTAAGAAGCACTTCATCCATGGTTATTGCTGACTGGAGATTGAGAAGTTATCTGGCATAGCCACATAACCAACCTTGGAAAAAAATAAACAGCTTTTCTTTAAAAGGAGGGTGATGTGGTCAAAGRAATAGTATCCCTGGTTATATGAAATATGTGATACTGTGCCCAGTAACAGAAAATTGAAGAAAGTAATGGTTTTAAGGCATCACAAGTTGATCAGCAGTTTCAGATCTAAGTCTGAAAATAAATCATTTTCCTTGAAAAAAGGAAATACTAAGATTCTACTCTATACCAGGTAATATACTAGACTCTTGATAAATGTTATCCCATTTAATTGTCATACTATCCCTACAAAGTAGATATTTTTATGTTATTGGCTTTATAATTGAGGCTTTTACAACTGATTGAAGGTCACAAAGTCCAACTAGCCAATAAGTGAGACTTTTTCTGAGCACATTCCTTCCACCCCTTGTCCTTGTACTAAATTCATTTCTTCTGTGGTGCTGTTATACCCTGAAAATATCTTTATATCAACACATTATGTCTGAATGGTTTTGTATTTATTTATCGGTCTCTCCCATTAGACAGTTCCTCAAGGGTATGAACAGTGTCTTCTTCACTAGTACAGTACTTTAGTGAATAGAAGGCTTTAAAAAAATATTTGTAAGACTGCAGATTTGAGCTAAGTGTTCGAGCCTAAATCTGTCTTGTCATCAGAGGCACACAGGTGCAGATATCCAGATAGTTATTGTGCTTTAAAGTAACTTTGAGATGGGAAAATAAGACAGGTTTGAAAATCCTTGCAAGGTTTTTTTGTTTTTTTTTTTTAATTGAGAAAAGCCGTTGCTTGGTTGTTTTTGTTTGTTTTTGTTATTTGGGATCTTTTTGGTATTCCGCTACTGTATCATAATTAGTTGTCAGTGTATTTAAGATAATCAAGGCAGTGAGTGGTGAAAAGGCTACTATTTTGTCATTCTGTTAAGCACATGCTGATAAATGTTATCCCATTTAATTGTCATATTTTTATGTTATTGGCTTTACATTACTAATTTCTCCAGCCACCGTGGCTTTGGAAACTGAAATGAAACCTAAATGAAACTGAAACATTAAAGCTTACACATATATCAAAGGAGAGTTATCAAGAATGTGGATTGCTGTCTTTTCTAGGGGCTTTATGGGTGTGTATAATTTTAAATCCACACTGCAAACTGGAGGAGAAGTCCTGTTGGCTGCAGCAGCTGCAGAAGTGGAGCGACCTGGATGTCTGTCCCCTGGAGGATGGGAACTATGGGCATGAACTTCCCAACATCACCAATGCACTTCCCCAGAATGTCAATCACAGCCCAGGTGAGTCAAGTATCCTTTTAGGTTCTTTGTCTCTAGAACTTCAAAAGGTGAGAGGGTAAAGCCCTAGAACAATGGTAGCTGGACAGCCTCTTGGTTGTCCAAATTACCATTCTAAATATGAAAAGTCTGTCTTTTTATTCATTCTAAGTCTTAAATAAGGATAAGCCTTTGTCTTTGACATTGGGTATGTTGTCCTTTTCCACATCTAGAGTATCCTTACAGTACCCAGCACAAGGTCCTGGAGCCCTCTTCATGATTCCTCAGTACCCTTCAGGCTCTTTGTGTCTAATGGATCTTGGCCTCCGTTTGGTGTTGACTTTAGCCCAGAAGACCTTTTGAAAAGTGGAAAAAATGGCCCTTTCTTATTCTGTTTCTTGTTCTCTTTTTCCCTCAAGTTTTTATATAGCACATATTTGGAGTTGGGGGTCATCTTCCAAGTATTGCCAGGATTCCTGCCCCATTTTAAGACAAATTCAGGGCAGTGATACTATACCATCTATCTTTTGAGTCCACTGTCCTAAAGACTTTGCTTGGTATCAGTAGTCATGTCAATGTTATTTCACCTAACTCAAGCTATTTGATATTGACAACTGATTGCTTTTTTTTTAACTCATTGAGAATCTTTATTGATAAGAGATTTCATTAGATACTGATTTTATAATTTGTTCCTTTTAAGTAATAATTCTGTTGGCATTTTAATCTAAAATTATTATTTTGCTTGATCCTTCTGTTATACCATATTTAATTTAGTATTTAAAATAACTGAAGTAATGAGTGGTGAAAAGGCTACAGTCTTGTCACTTCTTTCAACCTACTATAGTACCTAGTACTTATCTATGTGCAACACAGGAAGCCACCATTTTAATATTGACCTTGGATAGAACAGAGAGGGTCAAATGCATACAAACACATGCCTCCAGTCTGGCAGTTTCTTCCTTGTCATAATATATTGGTTCTTCATTGTTATTGGTTCTCCTTTGAGAATGTCGCTTCCTCTGCTTTCTTCCCAAGTTGTAACTGGTGTCTGCTCTCATATCCCATTACCAGTGGAACTGGAGAAGTAATAGAAAGCATCCTATAAACTTTTTTTTTTTGCCATTTCTACATCATTATTCAGCCATCCCATCTTCCTAAAATACCTCCTACTTTTAAAATTTTATGCCATCAAACCAGACTATCTTCTACTCCCACCCTCTTGTTTTAGCCATCTGTAGACTTCTGCATCAATACCCTCATTCCTTGAAGATTTTTTAACTATTGACTTACTAATACTACTTTCTGTCACTCCTCTTGTCATAATTCTCTGTGATTTCAGTAGCTGCAAAAATGATTCTTCCAGCATTGTGGTCTCCAGTTCTTTGACTCCCTCTTTTTCGGTTACTCTAATCTTCCACCATAATTTAACCATCCAATCCCAAAGTTGTGCCCTAAACTTTGTTATTACCAATAACTATATCCTCTTCATCATCTCAACTTTAAACATCTCCAATTATTATCACCAGACTTTCTTGCTTATTTTCTTTAATATCCCAATTTCCAGTAATTAATTGGCCCACTAGAAATTTTGATCTTACCATATTTTCATTGGCTTGATAGCCTCATTGTCCTTCTTACCCAGGTAGATTCCTTGGTACATAACTCTCTAGTGTACACAGTGAGCTCCCCGTTTCCCTTTATTACACTCATGTAGCAAAACTCTAAACTTTGTGCATTCCAATTCCCTTATTACTTGGTACTCACACTTATACAACTGAACATGGCTAGAGAGAAACAATCATAACTGGTCTTATTTTAAATTTATGACCACAAATTTCAAGTGGGTCCTTAATGTTTTCTGCACATCTATTACATTTTCCTAGCCTGTACTGTTTTACTCTTCTAAACTACTCTATAATATCATCTTTTCCCTAAAACTCTATATACTTTCTCCATCCTCTTCCTTGYTTTCAGCTGAGTTTTGCTTCTTGATCACTGACATTAGATAAGGAAGCAGAAATAAATTTCCCATTACCACCTCTGTGGTGTTGGTTCAAAAGAATTGCTATTCTACTGGGTGTGGTGACACACACCTATAATCCCAGTTGCTTGGGAGGCTGAGGCATGAGGATCACAAATTAAAAGCCAGCCTCAGTAAAAGCAAGACTCTAAGCAACTCAGTGAGACCCTGTTTCTAAATAAAATACAAAATAGGGCTGGGGATGTGGCTCAGTGGTTGAGTGCCCCTGAGTTCAATCCCTAGGACTGAAAAAAAAAAAAAAAAGAATTACAGTCCTAATTAATCAAAGAATCACTGTCTTTGTCCATCTACTCTACCTCTTGCCTTGTTGTTCTTTGTACTTCTATCCAAGTCCAAACCTTCCACTTATTCTCAAGGTCCTATTCTTTTTCTTTTATCCAAAATAATGCTGTAGGAATTATCTCCYATCTCTCCTGCATCACAAATTTTTCCCTCCCTCTGGACCATTCCTATAAGTATGTAAGCACATTATTATATGTCCCATTCTTTTTTAAATATTTTTTTTAGTTGTAGATGAACACAATGCCTTTATTTTACTTGTTTTTATTTTTACTTGTTACTGGGGACCCAACCCAGTGCCTCACGAATGCTAGGCAAGTATTCTACCATTGAGTCACAACCCCCGCCCCATATGTCCCATTCTTAAACAAAACAAAACAGAAAACATTCTTGCTTCTCCACATGCCTCTCTTGTTACCAGCCTATTTTTCTGAGGTGGTTAGAATTAAGAAAAAATGTTCGAAAGAACAGTGTATACTTATTATCTTCTTTTCCTCTCCTCTGATTCTTTTTTTTTTTAATTCATTTTTAAAAAATGACAGCAGAATGCGTTACAATTCTTATTACACATATATACCACAATTTTTAATATCTCTATTTGTATATAAAGTATGTTGACACCAATTCGTGTCTTCATACATATACTTTGGATAATGGTGTCTATCACATTCCACTATCCTTGCTAACCCCCTGCCCCCTCCCTTTCCCTCCCACCTCTCTGCCCTATCTAGAATTCTTCTATTCCTCACATGCTCCCCCTCCCTAACCCACTATGAATCAGCCTCCTTATATCAGAGAAAACATTCGGCATTTGTGTCAAATGGTGGTTTCATTCCCAGATTTCCAAGGAATCTCCATACTGCTTTTTATATTGGCTGCACCAGGTTTTCATTCCCACCACCACTGAAAAAACTCATACTAGTCACTAAAGCTTTGCTTGATATCTTTGCTTTTGTAAAAAGGTTTTTCTGATTGAGAGCTAAACCTAGTGATTGTCAATCATAATGTTTTTTTTAAGGCATCATCAGATTTATTGTTAGAACTTCTAAATTAGTTGAGGTAATTGTATGAATCTTTGCTCCTTGCAAAGACAGTCAAATTAACCTAAATATTAAATTTGAGGTGTTTACATATGGTGGTAAAATGCCTCTTCATATGTATCAAGAAATTATGAAACCCACAGTTTCTGAAACTTATAGTCTTAATTGCCCTAAACATTGTTCATACATTTCTCTCTTTTTTTTTTAAGTCAGTCATAATCTTAAATGACCTTTTAGCAGTATTTGACACACTGACCATTCTCTCCATGGAATATCTTTGTCACTTCATTGGCCCTTTCTTCTAAATCTGAAGTGTCTCTTCCCCTCCTTCCAAACCTGAAAATGCTGAAATGCTCAGGGCTTAGACATCATATCACTTACCTTTCTATATTAAATTGGTGATTGCATTGTTTTAATATAAATCATCTGTATGCTAACAATTCCCAAATGGATATCTTCCATCCTGCTCAATTCTATTCTTGTATATTTAACTGCTTTTTGATATATCTGCTTATATATTAATAGGCATCTCAGTGGGTTTCTTTCTTTTAAGCCCTACCCACATCTGTTTCTCCTGCATTCTTCCCTGTCTCCGTATCTGGCATCTTTATCTGAAAAATCTTTGTGTCGTTCTTGATTCTTCTCTTTGTCCTTCTCCTCAAATCTAATCTGTGAGCAAATCTCATTGCATTTGCCTTCAAAGTATATTCATTATTCAGCTGCTCACCATTTCTATTGTTGGTTACTCTGAGCCAATACCATCATTTTCATAAATTATTGTAGCAGCTGCCCATATAGCTTGCTCATTCCATCCCTCGCTGTTCTCAAACGTTCCAAATATATTCACATATCAGGACTTAGTATTTTCTGGGTCTTCTACCTGGATTGTTCTTCCCTAAATATCACTAAAGCTTGCCCCTTGTTCCTGCAGATCTTTACTCAAATGTTTTCCCTTTTTTTTTTTTTTTAATGGGTTCTTTCTATGTTCCTGGGCCCAAATGATCCTCTTCCCTCAGCCTTTCAAGCGGCTGGGACTGTAGGCACAGACCACTGTACCTGGCTGTTCAAATGTTATCTTATATTCTATATAAAACAATAACTCCTTTTTAAATTTTTACTATCAATTAGCTTTTCTCCCTAACTGTACTTTAGTTTTTTCCATAGTACTTGTAACCAGATAATATAGCTGAAATACTGTATATTTAACTATCTCTCCCCATTTGGATGTAAAGTTCTGTAAATATAAGGACTTTTTATATCCTGAGCACCTAGAACAGTACTGCTAGATATTAGTCATGCAATATATTCTAATTTAATGGATTATAAAACATACTGAGAGCCCAGTCCCCCTGGAAAATTCTCAATTCAGCAGGAGGGAGACTTAGACTATAGCCAGCAGAAGAGTTAGTGTGCTTCCACTGAGGGACTGGACAAGAAGCAATTTCAATAAGTACTTTCAGAGCTACTCTGATGATAATATCCTTTAATTATCTGAGCCTATACCCTGTAGGATATGTTAAATTCTAAAGAGATGAGCAGATTCCAAGGCCTTTTCCTATGTGGTTGAATATGTTATTTTCTTTCATGTTCAATCTGAATCTTCTGACTTTCCTGGACAGTTTTTTKGTATGTAATCAATAGATATACACCTACTTGAGTATGTCTGGAAATATTTGTATAGTTCAGGTCTTGGTCCCAAATAGTTTTAACTGCTCTTAATCTGGCAAAAATTATCTAAATTATTCCTTTTTAAATTTTTTTCTTAAATGTCATTTCCCCTAGTCCCCCAAGTCATAGTTTATGACAACGGATCTTCCATTTGATTTACCTGCATACCACCCATAAGAATTGAGTTTATCTATAGTATTCATTTCCCTGTTACACTTTTTCTGAAAAGAGATGACATGGTGCGAGTCCAATGAGAAAACAAGTTATTCTTTCGCCAGCATCAGCTTTTCTTATAAGGAATAAAATTTTAAGTCTGAAGCTATCAGTGAAATTTTTTAAAGTATCAGATTATACAGGGCTTTAACTCTTTCAGCTTTTAATATGAATTCCATGGAAGCCCTTAGTCTGCTAAGAATCATGCTGCAAATGAAACAAATTGTGGATTAGTCAGGGAAATTACCTGACTGCTTCTCTCTACCATTGACCTCTATAAAAACAGTTTGTATCCTCATGATTGAGCAACTGAAAACCACTGCCTCTCCTAGTTTTCATGAACCTCTGAGTCCCAGTAGATATTGGTCTTCTGTAAAAGGAGGAAGGCAGCCATAGATTTTTGTAAAAAGGTTCTTCTGATAGAGGGCACAAATATACTAATGATTATCCAGGAAGGAAGCAGCACAACAAATATCCAGATTGTGGAGTGGTTGTTCTCATTGCTCGTATACTATTCTTCTGCCCAACCTCTCACCCTGATCTATCTAAAAATGCTGCTGCATTTTTTTTTTTCTTTCCCTAGACTCCTTATCCAGACCAAGACGAACAGTGTTCACTAGAGCCATCGAGGGCCGTGAGTTACATTGGCAGGACAGCCACCTACAGAGAATAATCAGCAGTGATATATATACAGCTCCTGCCTGCCAGCGAGAAAGTGAGCGACTACTCTTTAATTCCCATGGCCAGCCACTGTGGCTTGGTAAGTCTAGCCCTCATCTACTCCAAGATTTTCAGAGCCCAACCTCACCTCATATGAGGCCCAAAGGAGCCATCTGTGTAAGTACCAGCAAAACCAACTACAATTTGGATAGTCTTTATATAGCTCTTTTGAGGCCTTTTGAGATTCAGGATATTTATTTGAAGCTGTTTGCATATGTGCTTAGTTGAGGTACAGTAATTTCAAATAGGATTTGTATCCTATCCCCTAAACTTTGGGATAAAGGAGTTAATACATCTCAAAGAGTATAACATAGCCATTAGATATCAGTTTACAGGCTCTCTCAGCCATTGGTTACTGAGCAACATTATATTCTACTCTGAAATTATATATTTTGCTTAAAAAAACACCATTTCCTGGGCATGATGGTACACCAGCGGCTCAGGAGGCTGAGGCAGGAGAATTGTGAGTTCAAAACAAGCCTCAGCAACTTAGCAAGATCCTGTCTCAAAATAAAATATAAAAAGGGGATGTGTCTCAGTGGTTAAGCACTCCTGGGTTCAATCCCTAGTTTAAAAAAAAAACAAGGACTGGGGTCATAGTTCAGTGGCACACCACTTGCCTAGCATGTGTAAGGCACTGGGTTTGATTCTCAGTACCACATAGAAATAACTAAATAAATAAAATAGAGGTCTTTTGACAACTAAAATCAAAAACAAAAAATAAACACCAAGTTTGAAACTTAAATTACCCTGTTCTGGCAACTAGGACACAGTCTTCATTTGTCATCAAGCTGTCTTCCTTTCTTCTTTTCCAACTTCCTACCTTCCCTCATAACAGGATAAAACTGTTCCATCTTAAGTTTAAACCTTCCTCTGAGAGAGTATTCTTTTTTTAATATTTATTTTTCAGTTTTAGGTGGACACAATATCTGTTTTTTTTTAATTTTTAACATTTATTTTTTTAGTTTTCGGCAGACACGACATCTTTGTTGGTATGTGGTGCTGAGGATCGAACCCGGGCCACACACATGCCAGGCGAGCACGCTACCGCTTGAGCCACATCCCCAGCTCCTGGACACAATATCTTTATTTTTATTTTTATGTGGTGCTGAGAATTGAACCCCGTGCCTAATGCATTCTAGGCAAGCGTGCTACCACTTGAGCCACATCCCCAGCCYGGAGAGTATTCTTATTATCAGTCTATCCTTGACTTTATATTAGAATACCTACTCCAAAATAAACACTTTTTAAAAAATATTCATTTTTGAGTCTTCAAATAATCACATATATTTTCGTTATTTTACCCAATTCCCTACTCCATCTCTCACCCCATAAAACCTCTAGCTGAATCTGGATATGTCCCTGTAAAAAAACAAAACAAAACAAAAAAACTTGGCCAAACTCCCTGTGGGTCACCACCTAAAATTACCTCTGATCATCTTTCCTCTTTTCTCCAGTACTTCTAAAACATAAACCTAACAAGCATGTGAAAAATCTACACCTCATTAATAAATAAAGATATAAACTAAAACTATACTGAGACCAGGCACAGTGGCACACACCTATAATCCTAGCAGCTTGGGAGGCTGAGACAGGAGGATCACAAGTTCAAAACCAGCCTCAGCAACTTAGCAAGGCCAAAATAACTCAGTAAGAACCTGTCTCTAAATAAAATATAAAAAGGGGCTAGGGATATGGCTCAGTGGTTAAGTGCTCCTGGGTTCAATTCCCCACTACTAGAATAAAACAAACAAAAAACAGCACTGAGATACCATTTTTAATTATCAAATGGCCAGGAATTTTTAAAATAAAGATAATTAGTTTCTGGGTGTGAGAAGTTGCATGAGATACGTAGGAATTTAAATGCTTATAGCCTTTCTGAAGGATATTTTAGTAACACCTTATCAAGTCTTTAAAATACTTTTTTTTTTGTACTAGGAATTGAACCCAATGCCTGACACTTTCCAGTCAAGTGCTCTACTACTGAGCAATATACTCAGTCCTTTTTMAAATTTATTTTGAGACAGCATCTCTTCAAGTTGTCCATGCTGGCCTCAAACTTGTGATCCTCCAGTCTCAACCTCCTGAGTATCTGGTATTACTGGCAGATGCCACCACGCCCAGCTCATTTATACCATTTGATCAGGGAATTTCACATCTTGGAATTTATCCTGAGCAATAATTAAAGATATGCTTAAAGCTAAGAGATTCATTAGGCATGGACATAAATATTGCACAAATGGAAAAATTGGAAACAATCTAAATATCCACCAATATGAGATTAGTTCTGTGGAAGTACAGATATTCATTGGAATGATATATATATATTTATAATGTGTTATTAAGCAAAAAAAATCTACTTACAAAACAATAATTATATCCCATTTTGGTGAAAAATTAATAGCTTAAATATGAATAAAACTGGAAAGAGTATTTATTTGGTTTTTATTTTATATTTTCTTTATATTTTTAAATCTGTGATTATTTCTAAAAGAAATAATAATAGTCTTAAAAGAAATGGATAAACCATAAAGCTTGTTATAATCACTKGGCCATTTATAAGCCTTTAATAATCTTCCATTATCCCTAAGGTGAATCTAAACTCTTCCTAATGATGTTCAAACCTCTTTACAATCCAGATCTACTTTTCCAGGCTATTTCCAGCCATATAACCTAATGCTAGCTACCCATATATGCCATTCTCCAAAGATGTTTTGTTACATAGAATACTTTTTATACTTTTATACTTATATGCCTTTTCTTATATGTTACCTCTGCAAAGAATGCCTTCCCTATTTATCTACCTATTCATGATCTTGCTTGTCCTTCAAAGCACAGCTCAAATATTATTTTTTTCTGTGTATATATCTATCATGTTACTTTTTTGTTAACTGTTTATGTATCATTTGTGAGCTCTTTGAAGGCAGTGGTCATTTCTTATTCATCTTTGTACTTTTAGCATACTGCCGGGTGTTTAGTAGGTCTTTAGGAAATATAGGATAGACAAATGAATAAGGCTTTTCCCATTGGGCAGTTAGTTTTTACCTCCAGTGGGTTCCTATAATACATGTTCACAAAGAGATTCTGTAATTTTTAAATTTATTTTATTTTATTTTTTTGGTGTAGATGGACACAACACAATGCATTTTATTTTTTTATGTGGTGCTGAGGATCAAACCCAGGTCCCACCCGTGCTAGGCGAGCGCTCTACCGCAGAGCCACAATCCCAGCCCCAATTTATTTTATTTTTAAATTTGTTCTAATTAGTTACAGGGACTGTATTTTGTCATCCTAGTTGTGTGTCCCTTTCTACACTCTACCACTGGACTGAAGCTACAAGATAGTTCTTTCAAGGAGGCAACTGTGACTTATTCAACTTTTTAAAAAGTATTTGTAGTTTTAGATGGACACAATACCTTTATTTTATTTATATATTTTTATGTGGTGCAGAGGATCAAGCCCAGTGCCTCACACATGCTAGGCAGGTTCTCTACCTTTGGGGCTGCAACCCCAGCCCCTTATTCAACTTTTTTATCCTGAAAGATTAAAAAATATATATAGTTTGTTGTATTAAATAGATATCAGGTTGAATTTGAAGAACTGGACTGAACACAAACTCCCTTTGTCAAGCATGAATTTTCCTATTTTTTGTGATTTTTTGGGGTACGGTATGGCAGATTGAAAAACCAGGGGTGCTTTACTACTGAGCCACATCTCTAGTCCTTTTTATTTTTCACTTTGAGATAGGGTCTTGCTGAATGCTGAGGGCCTCTCTAAATTGCTGAGGCTGGCCTTGAACACAAGATCCTCCTGCCTGAGCCTCCTGAGTTGCTGGGATTACAGGCATGTGTCGCCATGCCTGGCATCCTGATTTGAAATTTTAACTCAATCAAGATATTTTCTTTTTATCTGGTAGAGCATGTGCCTACAGCTTGTGCTCGTGTCGATGCCTTGCGTTCTCATGGTTATCCAAAAGAGGCCCTCAGACTCACGGTGGCCATTATTAATACTCTGAGGTTGCAGCAGCAGCGGCAGCTGGAAATCTACAAGCATCAGAAGAAAGGTATGATGATTAGGAGTCATCTTACCTCTTTAGGCCTAAGGCTAATGAGGATCCTCAGGGGATATAAGACCTAGAACCTATTTTTCATTAAGTATCATGGTGTGGCAGGAGCTAGGGAATTCCAGGAATTCTGCCTGCTGTGTGAAATGCCTCACTTTTTCTCTGTGGATCTCAGTTTTCTCAGCAGTAAAATGGAAACAATGATGCCTTCCTGCTTCCTCAGAGTGCAGATGAAAGAACCACTAACTAAGGTCTGGCATGAGAGGACCCTTTCAAAGCTGTAAAGCTGTATTCACATATGAACTACCAGCAGGCAATCTAAATTCACATCACATGGCCTAACAACTGGCTGGTGAGATTATGACCAGTCCTGTCAACCCAAGACAAGATAATAAAGGAAGCTTTTCTATAACTTCTAGGGTTAAGACCTGAATGAGACTGATAAGGAGAGCTAAGCAGCTGAAAAGAGCAATGTGTCTCTATCACTGTCTAAAACTTTGAACCTGCTTGTTTTTTAGAACTGTTGCAGAGAGGAACCACAACCATCACAAACCTGGAGGGCTGGGTGGGCCACCCCCTGGATCCCATTGGCTGCCTGTTTCTCACTTTGACTGAAGCCTGCCGCCTGAATGATGATGGCTATATGGAAGTGTCAGGTACAAGGGTCAGCTTTAGACAAGCCAGGACTGTCCTTTGAAGCCCTGTCCTCCCTGCCAAACTATGTTCCTCTCCTCTTATAGCCTTTTTTTTTTCAGTCTTGTCCAAACTAAGCATTTCTGAGAGGTTTCTTTCTTTCCTTTCTTTCCCACTTTCTGTTCCCACCCTGTGGTCTGTCCCTGTCTATTTTACCTTACCAGCTTCCTTGCTCCTCTGATTTCCCTACCACAAATGGCTAAAGAATGTAGTCCAGGACTAGAAGAATATCAGAAGTCAGAGGCCATAACTTCAGAGCAGTCCAGAAATGGGAGAGAACATCCACCAAAAAGGTGTATCAAGCCAGGCATGGTAGCACATCCCTATAGTCCCAGCAACTTGGAAAGTTGAGGCAGGAGGATTATTTGCCCAGAAATTTAAGCCAGCCTGGGCAACATAGTGAGACCCTGTCAAAGAAAAAAAATTTATATCCCTTGCAAAATTTATATCCCTTTAAACATTCACCTTAATGGTGTTTTTGCGCCAGTTTTACAAATGAGAAATAGAGGAGAATAGTCTAACAGAATCACAGAATGGCCCGGACTAGAAAGAGACAGAATTTATTCTTCTTTCCTTTATGGATTTACTATATTGTTTACCTATATCTACTTGAGTATTTATTTAGCACACTGCATTATAATTTGTTTAAAAATTATTATCTTTTATCAGTTTTATCAGTTACTTTTTGAAAGCATAAGTTATGACTTAATTGTCTTTGTAATCATAACACTCAGTATAGAACCTGCCATTTAATAGTCTTCTGTAAATACTTACCAGATGAAGGAAAAAGGAAATCAAGATTTTAGCTTTGTTTTTTTGTTTCAATACTAGGACTTGAACCTGGGGATTCTGTACCACTAATCTACATCATCAGCCCTTTTTATTTTTTGTTTTGAAACAGGATCTTACCAAGTTGTGGAGGTTGGCCTTGAACTTATGATCTTCCTGCATACTCCCAAATAACTGGGATTTCAGGCGTGTGCCTTTTTTTTTTTTTTTTTTTGAAAAGAGATCTCACTGTGTGTCACCCAGGCTGGCCTCAAATTCCCAGGATTAAGTGATCCTCCCATAGCAGCCTCCAGAGTAGCTGGAACCACAGGCACAATCCAATACACCTAAGACTTTGACTTTTTTTTTTTTGGCGGAGGGGTACCAGGGATTGAACTTAGAGGCACTCAACCACTGAGCGACATCCCAAGCCCTATTTTGTATTTAATTTAGAGACAGGGTCTCACTGAGTTGCTTACCACCTTGCTTTTGCTGAGGCTGGCTTTGAACTCTGATCCTCCTGCCTCAGCCTCCTGAGCTGCTAGGAGTTCAGGCATGYGCCACTGTGCCCAGCTAAGACTTTTACTTTTAAACCTGTACTCTTTCCCTGAGATTGTGAATCCATTGGTGGAACATATAAAATAATAATAACATAGAATTTGCAAGTGTTACCAAAGTAAAAGTTTAACTGGATACAGATTTTTTTTTCTATGTAGAAATGAAAGGATTAGCCCAAACTGTGCTAGGGTTGCCATTATCTTCACACTGATATTCTGGTATGGAATCATCATCTTTAATGAGTTTTATCTGCACAGAAACATTTATAGCTTGAAAACCTGAGGTTGCATTTGGTTTATTTGTTCACCACTGATGTATATTTAACTCCTTCCATGTGTTAGGCCCTGGAGATACATGGAACAAGTTAGTCTCATCCCTTTAAGGTGTTCACACTGTAGTAAAAGAGATGGACAATTGTAATATTTTATAATGTATACGATAGCAAAAGATAAGTATTCAGTTTTATACTTCTCAACAGGCCTGGCCAGTTCATTATGTTATGAAGGAAGTGGAAACCTTTGTGCCTCTGTGTAACCTTTTTTCAGTGAATTTTTCTTACTGCTCTGGGGTTCTGATTTAGCTTCTGAAATATCTATTGACCAAGCAGTATTCCAAAGTGGGAGGGTCTGGAGGGATAGAAGAATCTGCCAGGCCTATCCTAAAGAACCTGGTACCCTGTTACCCTCAGATATGAGTGAAAGCAGACTCCCTGTGTACCAGCATGTACCTGTGGCTACAGACTGCGCAAACAGCAGTGAGTCCTACCTGTCATTAGCCCTGGAAGTTGCTCTGATGGGCATGGGTCAACAGAGGGTAATGCCTGAAGGCCTCTATGCACAGGACAAAGTATGTCGTAATGAGGAACAACTTCTAAGCCAACTCCAGGAGCTGCAGCTGGACGATGAGCTAGTACAAACACTGCGGAAACAGTGCATCTTACTACTAGAAGGTAAGTAGAGAAGGGGATATTGTCACACTGTCTTTGCTTGTGACCCTGGACACCCTTCCTCTACCTGCACAGATAAAGGAATATTTATGACATTAAAATACAATGAAGGTTCCCATGGCTGGCAAACATGTATGAGACCCTGGGGCCCTAAAGTCTAGCCTGGTGAATGGAAGAATACAGATAAATTAAACTGTCTGGCTTATCTTTTTCCTGCAGGAGGCCCCTTCAGTGGTCTAGGAGAAGTCATCCACCGAGAGAGTGTCCCCATGCATACCTTTGCCAAGTATTTGTTCTCAGCTTTGCTGCCTCATGATCCAGATCTGTCCTATAAATTAGCCCTTCGTGCCATGAGGTGGGTAGCCCATTTCCAGTCCATTGTCCCTACCAAATCAGAAGTCTTCAATGCTCTCTCTCTGCTTATCCTGTTATCTTTTCTTCTTTGTCTGTTCTGTTGATCTGCCACCAAATCTGCCTTAAAATGGCTCTGATATTTTCAACTGATCTAGGATTCCTATCTGGGATTCTCTGTTGAAGACCCACTTTACTCCTTTGCTATACTCATGGTAGATTGTCTGAAAAAGCCCCTGAGACATCATGATATATTATTAGATACAAACACCCAGGACTTGAGTCTTCATATTCTGGAGTCAATGAGGCAGCCTGAGAAAGTGTTGGAGCCCTTCCATAACTCACTTGAGTCATGGTTCCCAAGTACACGTCCTCAGAGGAATCCAGAGGAAGTAAAGATAAATAGGTATACTTCAAGACTTGAAAACTAGTGAGCTTTGGGGATCTTGCTTCCAAACTAGAATAGAATCCTTGGTTTAGGCATGTTAACTTCTGTAGGTAGCAGAGTAGACACAAGAATATTAATTAGATTGTAAGACTCAAGAGAACTCCTCAGCTAAAACAGGAAAGTCCTTGGCATATACTTATGTTTATAAAAATAACCCTTGGGCTGGGGTTGTGGTTCAGAAGTAATGCGCTTGCCTAGCATGCGTGAGGCACTGGATTCAATTCTCTAAAATAAAATAAATAAAATAAAGATCCATCAACAACTAAAACAAAAAAATTAAAAAATAAAAATAACCCTATTGACTGACTTTTCAAGTTCATGTGTAGTGGGGACTATTCAGCTTGGGTTCTACAAGTGCTCAATCATTCACTTCATGTAGAGTATAGACCCATACATTTTAAAAATCTCCAAAGCTCTTACTTAATCCTTCCCTCCTAAGTTCCTCCCCAGAAAAGAGCAAGCTTCTCTAAAGTGGCTCAGATAGCCAAGGTCTAGATGATAACTGATGACTCTTCCTGGTTCTTTTAGGTTACCTGTTCTAGAAAATTCAGCTTCTGCAGGCGACACTTCCCACCCTCACCATATGGTATCTGTGGTACCCAGCCGTTATCCTCGATGGTTCACACTTGGACATCTGGAATCACAGCAATGTGAACTGGCCTCCACAATGCTGACTGCTGCCAAAGGTAAGTACAGATAGACCTTAGATACTGGTGTTCCCCACTGTGCTTGCCTAGCCATGGCCATCAAAGGGTTGGCCTGCAGTCTCCTGAGGAGACTGTCAACTTTAAAGTGATAGGAATCCTTACTTTCATTGCTAATTAGAAAGAGCACCTGGGTCCAAAATTTTGCCCTAATTTCTAATTGTAGGACCCTGTGTATATAGAATTAAATTTAGTTAACTTCTAATATAAACTTTCATATAATAAAGTCAGTTTACTTTCCAAGCCTCAGTTTCAGAATCTGTAAAATGGGGATCATTGTCAATGACCTATCAGCCTCCCAGAGCCACTGGAGGATGTAATGAAATGATGACTAAGATAGAGCTTACAGATCTCCTTACAAATCAGAGTTCTTAATTTTTCCAGTACCCTCTGGTCAAAGGTAGAGATTCCAGGGTGACACTTAGTCCCTTAAGCTCACATACTACCTATGCAGGCATCACTGCAAAAAGAAATTAAAATTAGCACCTAGATGAAGAGCAATAATAAAACACCAGCTTCTATGGATTCTTGAGTATTTTGTATCAGGAAACTATATGGGTTTTTTAAGCTTTTTTGCTTAGTTTTTGTTTTGCTGCTGCTTTTTGAGATGGAGTATTGCTTTGTTGTGGTTTTGTTTTGTTTGTTTTTTAATATTTTTTTGATGTTGATGGGCCTTTATTTTATTTACTTATTTAGGTACCAGGATTGAACTCAGGGAAACTGAGCCACATACCCAGCCCTATTTTATATTTTATTTAGAGACATGGTCTCACTGAGTTGCTTAGCACTTCACTGTTGCTGAGGCTGGCTTTGAACTTGCAATCCTTCTATCTCCTGAGCTGCTGGAATTACAGGGGTGTGTGTGCCTGGTATTCATTTGTTTTTATGTGGTGCTGARAATCAAACCCAGTGCCTCACACATGCTAGGCAAGTACTCTACCACTGAGCTACAGCCCCAGCCCTATTGTTTTTTGAGACGGGGGTCAAACTGATCCTGAATTCCCAGGCTCAAGCAATCATTCTGTTCTACCTCCTGAGTGCTGACACTCAGGCATGTGTCCAACATTTTTTTTAATTAAAAATAACTTTATGTTTTATTTTCTTATTGGCAAAAAAATTCATGCTTATTGAAAAAAAAGGGAAAAGATATGGATAAATCAATGTACAAATGATCAAGAAAGATCATAGAAAGGATATGATTTTACATTTCACACACAAAAAAGATACAAATGATATTTTAAAAAATTAAAGTGCTTGTTCTCACTTGAGATATGCAAATTAAAATTACACCTGAGATAACATTTTTCATTAGTCTTATTAGGAAAAAAAATCAAATTTGATGATAAGAAACCATGAGAGGAACAGGTAGCCTGACATGGATTATTAGATTCCTAGCAGGATAAAGAAGATGACTGCTGAACCAAGGAACTCAGGGAACCTCAAGCAGAAGAAACGTGCAGAAAACTATACCAAAGCACACAATATTCAAATTGTTTAAAACCAATAGTTTAAAAAARTCTTATTTAAAACAAATAGAGTTAAATTTTTTAAAAAACACAAAGGACAAAAGACAAGTATAATAGCAAATTTCTTATTAAAAAAACAATGTAAACCAGAAGACAGTTGAGAAAAAAAAATTCTTTAAAAGTACTTAAAAGTCTGGTGCTGTCATGCATGCCTGTAATCCCAGTGGCTCAGGAAACTGAGGCAGGAGGATCTCAAGTTCAAAGCCAGCCTTAGCAACAGTGAGGCACTAAGCAACTTAGTGAGACCATGTCTCTAAATAAAATACAAAACAGGGCTAGGGATATGGCTTAGTGGTTGAGTGCCCCTGTGTTCAATCCCTGGTACCTCAAAATTTTAAAAAAATACTTAAAGTCAACCTAGAATTCTGCACCAATGAAAATACCTTTTAAAAAAATGAAATAAGACAAGTGCTGTGTCAGACACCTTAAATCAGCAACTAATGAGGCTGAGGCAGAAGGATTGCAAGTTTGAAGCCAACCTGGGCAACTTGGTGAAACCTTGTCTCAAAATATAAAACACAAAAGCTACGGTAGGTCTAGGGTTGCAGCTCAATGGTAGGACACTTGCCTAGCATGTGTGAAGAATTGGGTTTGAGACTCAGCACTAAATAAAAATAAAAGTATTGTGTCCATTTACAACTAAAAAAAAATGTTTTTTAATTTCAAAAATAAGGCTAGGGTAGAGTTCCCCTGGGTTTAATCCCCAGTATTTAAAAAAAWTTTTTTTCAAGCACATGCCTATAATCTCAGAGACTTGGGAGTCTGAGGCAGGAGAGTGACAAGTTCAAGGCCAGCCTCAGCAACTTAATAAAACCTTGTCTCAAAATTAAAAAATAAAAAAGGCTGGGATGTAGCTCAGCAGTAGAGCCCCCCTGCCAAGGGTTCAAGCCCCAGTACCGAAACGAAACAAAACCCATCTTCAGACAACCCCAGTGGAATTAGAAATAAGTAATAAAAAGACATCTGAAAAATACTCCAATTATTTGGATAAATCACATTTTTATACAACTCATGAACTAAAGGGAAAGACACAAGGAAAAAAAAAAAAAGCACAAAATACCAAAACATGTGGAATGCACGTTTGAAGGAAATTTTTAGTGCTAAATGCCTATATTTAAAAAGAAGAAGCATTGCAAATCAGTGATCTTGGATCTATCTCAGTGGTAAAAGGCCCTTAGATTCAATTCCTAGAACTTCAAAAAAGAAAAGCAAACAGCAAAAAGGGAAACAAATGAAGACTGGGGTTGTAGCTCAGTGAGAGAGCCTAGAACTGGTAAGGCAAGAGGTTCGCTCCTCAGCATCACATAAAAAGCAAATGAAAAATAAAGGTTAAATTCTAAAAGAAAAAAGAAAGAAAAGAAAAAGAAATGAAACCTAAAATAAGCAGAAGAAAGGAAATAATAAAGATCAGAGTAAAAATCAATGAAATAGAACAACAATGGAGAAAAAACAGTAAGGCGTAAAGCTAGTTCTTTGTGAAAATATAGTTGTAATCTCTGTATAGACTGATAAGGTTTAAAAAATATATTAAAATATCACCACCAATTGAGGTTGCAAATAAACAGGATGCAAAGACAAAAAAAAAGTCACCATCAGGAATGAGAAAGATGACATCTCCACAGATTTCAAAGAAATTAAAATTACAAACAAGGGAATATCATAAACAACTTTGTGCCGATAAATTCACCAGCATAGAAGAAATGGACAATTCCTTAAAAGACACAAACTACCAAAGCTCACTCAAAATAAATAAAAAAGAATGAGGCATATATCTCAAAGATTAAAAGCAGACTCAAACAGATACATGCACACCAATGTTCATAGTAGCATTATTCACAATAGCCAAAAGTTGTAAACAACCCATCTCTTACTACAGATGAATGGATAAATAAAATTTGGTGTATACATACAATGAAGTGTTATTCACACATCAAAAGGAATGAAATTCTGGGGCTGGGGTTGTGGCTCAGGGTTAGAGTGCTTGCCTAGCAAGCATGAGGCACTGGGTTTAATCCTCTTCACCACATAAATATAAAATAAAGATATTGTATCCACCCAAAACTAAAAAATAAATACTTTTTTTAAATAATGAAATTCTGATACATTCAACAACATGGACAAACCTCATAAATATTATGCAGTGAAATAAGCCAAACAGAAAAGGACAAATGTTATATGATTCCACCTATATGAAGTTATTGGGATAGCCACAATTAAGAGACATCAATGGATTCTAAGTTACTAGATGAACATTTGATRAGGATTAGGATATTTACAGTCTTAAAATATCTCTCTACAAAATACTTTTCAATCATAAAAGGAAAAAGTATAATTTACATAGAGGAGAGAAACTTGGTAAACATCATTTTAATCAAATAGTTACATTTAATATAAATTCATAGAGACAGAAAGGATATATTATAAAGAATAGAGAAAAATTCATAGAAGAATGCAAAAAATAAGAGGATGAGGAGTTATTAAATGGGTGCAGTGTTTCTATTTGGAATGATAAAGTTCTGAAAATGGAAAATGGTGATGGTTGGTCTACATTGTGGAATAAATAGTGGTGGTACAATATKGAATTTGATAATATATAAAAATGAAAAATAAATCATGGCTGAGTAGGATTTATCCTAGGAATATAAAATTGATTTAACATTAGAAAATCAATCACGGGCTGCGGTTGTGGCCCAGTGGTAGAGCACTCATCTAGCACATTCGAGGCCCTGGGTTCAATCCTCAGCACCACATATAAGTAAATAAAATAAAGGTGTTGTGTTCAACTACAACTAAAAAATAAATATTAAAAACAAACAAACAACAACACAAAAGAAACAAATTATGCAGAATTAACCATTTAAAAAAATCAGTCATAATATTTTACCATACTAACAGATTTAAAAAGAAAATTCACATGATTATTGCAATAATATAGAAAAATCATTTGATAAAATACAATCGTCCATTTCTAATGAAAATAAAAACACTTAGCACATTGAAAAACTTCCTCAGTGTGATAAAGAGATCTGTGATTTATCTGTAGCTAACCTTGTAAGTATTGGTGAAAGAATGAATGCTTTCTTTCTAAGGATCAGGAATAAAGCAAGATTATCACCTGAAATTCTAGTAATTCAAGAGGCTAAGGCAGGAGGATTAAGAGTTCGAAACTAGCCTAGGAAACTTAGTGAAACCCAGTCTCAAATTTTAAGAGTTCTGGAGATGTAGCTCAGTGGTAAAGCACCCCTGGGTTCAATCCCCAGTACCATGAAAAAAAAAAAAACATATCTGAATACAAAGAAATAAAAGGGCAATAAAAGCAAAAATAGACAAGTGGGACTACATTAGTCCCTCGCAAAAAACTCCTCTTCTGCACAGCAAAGGAAACATGCAACAGAATGAAAAGGCAACCTACAGAATGGGAGAAGATATTTATAAACCATATATCTGATAAGAGAT